GTTATTCTATATAAAACCTAAAGTCAAATCTAAACCCGTATAATATCTTCTTTTATTACTTTTATTTGTTAGTTTTTAGTTTTAATTTGTAATGGTCTAAATACTTACGGTGAAACTAGTTTTCTTATGGTTATTTAAATTCTAGAATAGTATGTCGCTATTATAGAATAACATGTTACTATTGTGGAACTAATATAGCGTTATGTTTATGTTTTTATGAAATTAAAGTGTTATATATATATATATATATTTTTTTTTTGTTATTTAATTATGTGAATCCATGGTCCTAAACCGATCCAATCCGTGTTTAAATGGATTGGTTCGGATTGGTTCCATGATTTAAACAGATTGGATTGGTTCCAATTTTTCAAGAACCGTTGATAACGGATTGGTCCTGGTTTTACCCTAATCCGATCCAATCTGAACCATGCTCACCCCTAATTTATGTCATTTTTTTAAGTTATAAAATGGATATGATATATATATGTCTCTTTTGGGAGGTGTATACCATAATTTTTCCCTTACAAATGCCTTGAAAAATAAAAATAAAAAAGTAAATTACAAATATTCCTCGTGAGGTTTGTTTAAAATATAGGTTGTTTTCTGTGATTTGAAAAAGTATAAATAACCCTTTATTTAACAAAATTGACTGAAAAAATGAAATTCATATTACTCTTCTATGCAATAATAAAAATACATAAATTATTAATTAAAACATATTTCTAACATCATTAAAAATTGTTAATTGACTTTATAATTTATTAATAAAAGAGACAATTTATTATGAAATTAGAAGCCTCGCGAGATGAAATGTAATTTCCAAAACTATAGAGTTAATTCATATTTTAATCAAACCTTAAGGGGTATATTTGTAATTTATCCAAATAAAAATAAAAAATTAATTTTGCAAATGAATTAAAAAAATAAAAAATTAAGGGATTGCCCTCATCTCAATCCTCACACTCTATAAAATGCTAAACATGGGGACGACGAATTGTTAGAAGAAACCCTAGCGCCGCTGTGCGTAAGAGGAGTTGCCGCTCGCAAGTCCTTTAGAATTCCATAATCTTTGCCTTTCTTGCTGAAACTTTCAGTCTAATTATTATTGTTGATTAGCACTGTCTGGTTCATCAATCGCTTTCGAAAGGCGTTGCGTTCTTCGATCGCCGATGGACGTGTCAACGAATGCGTAAATTTAATCTCAATGCCGACACAATTCTTTCTTTATACATCTGCGATTTTTTAATGGTATCGCAGTTTGTTTCATGCTCGGCTTGATAAATCTTCATAGATCTATGTATGTATTTGCTAAATTTTATTATGTGATTAGGGTTTTGAGGACAATGAATTTGGGTGTTGCTTCTTACTGGTGAACTCTCTCTGTTTTTTAACAAACAAAAGTGAGAGATGTTCATGTTTCCGAAGCATAGATCGATTTGCTTTTGCCAGAATTAAACAGCGCGCTGCATCACACGATTGTGTGTTTTTGCATCGTGCTACCTGTCTCCTGGTACAATTTTGCATTTTTTTTTTTTCTTGATGTTCTTGAGATTTTGTTTTTCAATTGCATTGAATTTGGGTATGAATTTACTTTGTCTTGATTTTACATTATCTCTAAAATTTAATTGAGAGGATTTCAATTTTTATCCCTTTTCTTAAGGATTTAAATACAGTCTATATATATATATATAAGGAGGGTTTTTAATCCAGCTTTTTTGATGCGTTTTGGACAGATGGTTAAAAAAATTTCTTTTGGGTTTTAATTAAGTTATTTTTGTTTTTTTGAAGTGATTTGATAAGTTAGCTTTTGTTTTTAAGATTAATATTTGTTTATGATATTACATCATAATAAAATGATCAAAATATCTTGTCCAATTTAAAAAATTTACTTTTTAACTCAGGTCACTCATTTATCTGCTTGTTGGATCAGAGAGGGTAATCATGTAATTTTACACTTTACATTTTGCAAATTTTCCAAATGTGTTCCAGCTTTTGTAGCTTTATTTGAATGCGTTTTGGGATGCAAAAATGCAATTTTTTTTTTTTTTGTGAGTTAGGTCCCGTTTAGGAATAGATTTTTTTAGTAATTTTTTGATTTTTTAGTTAAAATGTGATATAATAAAATTAGTATTTTAGAATGATTTTTTAACTTTTTACGAAAAGATGTCTAAAAAGTAAAGAAAAAAGATAAGATTTAATTTTTTGATATGAGTTTTTTTTTATTTTTTTAGTAATTTTTTGACTTTTTGACTAAAAAAATTACTTGTCAAACGAGGCCTTAGTAAAAAGTTATGTTTATAGTTTGTTTATTCAAAAAAGTTAGGTTTACCGGGATACGTTCCTATGTTTCTCTTTCTTTCCGAAGCATCGGAATATGTCCCTATGTTTTTCTTTCTTATTCCGAAACACTGAGATACGTCCCTGTGTTTTTTCTTTTTTTCCGAAACAACGGGATACGTCCCTGTGTTTTTTCCTCTTTGGTTAAGAGTATTTGAAATACGTTCCAATGCTTATACTTTTCCAAATCACCGGGATACGTCCCGCACTTGCGGGAGGTCGAGCTCATATAGCAATAAAGAGTAGCAAGGCCAGCGCCGCCCCCAATCGAAGTGCCGAACCTGGGATAGGTCTGCTAGACTACTCAAAAGATGTAGCCCGACCGTGTTCCCTCTGTCGGAGAACAATGTGGTCCCAAGAAGGAACATCAGGAATCCCCGGGCGTACTGCTCCGTGGCCTCAACAGTCTCGGGCACAGTCCTTCTATACTGCTCTGTGAATTAGGTGTATCTGACTGTGCTTGATGATCGGTAGATCAGCGGATGGGCTCCGAGTAGATAAGTTCAGGCTGCTTCCCACTCACCCATATCATAGTCACATGGGATCGGCTGACCTCCCGCGTCGAGGCCCGTCAGCATGGCAAAGTCATATGGGGTCATCGTCATGTGTGGCTAGGAGTTGTAGTGCAAAAGTGAAAAAACAACACACTTTAAGGCACAGATATAGAAAGAGAGAGGAATATAGAGAGGGAGATATATGTATAGCTCTAAAGAAATTTTTCTCAACCTGGAAAAGGGTGAGAGAGCCTGCCTCTTATAGAACTCTAAGCTTCTAACTTCTCTAGAAGCTTGGTTAAATCCCTCTATGCATGTGTATGGAGGATGCAATCTGTGCTGTCCAGCTGGCATCCACAAACTCTGCAGAAAATGCAGGAAAGCTGCCGACCACTTAGTGATCGGCCAGCTACATACACTGGTCGGCCGACCAGTGAAAGTGGTCTCCAAGGAAACAAAGTGGTCCGCTTTTTTTTAGTAAGGAGTCATTTAGTAAGTCTAAAAAAGTCACATATAAAATTATAATTATATCTTTTGTGTTTTTTATATTTACATGAGTAAAAATATAAATTTTCTATATTAAATGATAATAATTTAATCATTTTATTATGATAGAATATCATAAATAAATATTAATAAAAAAATTAAAATTAATTTTTTTTATTAACTTTTCATATCACTTTTCTATAAAAGTCAAAAATTTAGTTAAAACTCAAAAATTAATTTTTAATCTTTTCAAAAACACCCCAGTGGCAGAGAAAAGGGTGTCTGGTTGCATAGATTGACGCTGAAAAAATTGTCACCCCGTGTTACACGGCTCCTAAGCCTAATCGATTTCAAGTAGCTAATTTTTCAATAAAGGTACAACTTTCATAAGCAGATTATGCCTTATCATAATTTATGAATATATGCCAGAATATTTGGTGTAGTGATTTCTTTATATAATTTATTAAGTAAAAATAGTTTAAGATTTTGTTTAGGAAGATGATTGAGTTAAAATAGTCTATTAAAATAAGTTAAAATAATTAATAAGACAAAATATTGTATCAAAATTATAATCATGTTTTCTTTTTTTCACAATCATGAAATTAATTACAAAAAAAAGTCAATTAAATTTTCAAACACAATTTTTTTGTCAAATTAAAATAGTTAAAAAAAATTAAAAAAACAACTAAAGGCCTATATAAATTTTAAAAAGTTGATTGTTTAAAAAATTGAAAGATGGGAGATGGATGATAATTTTTGTTTTTCAGATTATTAACTTCTAATTTAAAAAAAGGTTCTACCAAACAGGTTTTACTATCCGTAAAAATAGGGGTGAGCATGGTCCGGATTGGACCGGATTGGGATAAAAATTAAAAAATCAAATAAAGGCCTATACAAATTTTAAAAAGTTGATTGTTTAAAAAATTGAAAGATGGGAGATGGATGATAATTTTTGTTTTTCAGATTATTAACTTCTAATTTAAAAAAAGGCTCTACCAAACAGGTTTTACTATCCGTAAAAAAAAAGAATAAATTATGTAAATAGTTCCTGTAATTTTCATGTTGTGTCATTTTAGTCTCTCTAATTTTAATTTGTTTGATTTTCATCTTAAATTTTGAATTCTGTATCATTTTGGTCCAATTAAAAACGGAAGTTAAGAAATTGGACGAAAAATTTACACGTGAATGACATGTGATTGGTTTTCAAGGGCACAATAGACATTTTGTTTTTTCTTTCCCTTTCAGCTTCTCCTTACGCTTCTCTCTCTCTCTCACTCAAAACCATAGTAGTGCCATTGCCTTGAAGAAATCGAGACCGAGCACCAAAGCTTTCTTCCATGGCGACAACGACGAACAAAGGAACCTCGCAGTGTCTACCATCACCACCTCCGCCTCCGCCTCCACCATTTATCTTCCTTTTTCTCTCACACCTTCTTCGATTGTCTCTCTCTATTCTTTGTCACTAACGTCGGCTCCCGTTGACTCTTCCGGAGCCATCTTACCCTTCATTCGTCAACGGTTTCACCTACGAAAGAGCCACCGACCACTGACATCTGTCGTTTCACTGCCTTTCATCTGTTTGAGTGAATGAATATGTGTTATGTTTTGGTTCATCCGTTGTCATAATCGGTGGAAGTGTACTGCTTGGTTCGGTTCTGTCAACGTAAATGTGGTTAATTGCAGATGATGTCAAGTCTGGATGTCATGGTGGAAATATACAGCAATGTAAGTATACTGAAACTTGGGTTTGGCTACAGGAGTTGCGTGAATCGCCATTAATGATGGGTCTGCGCTGGTCTTGTGGTTGTGTTTGAGTATGGAGTGCACGCTCTGTTTCTATGCTGAAAGTGGCATTCGTTCGACTTTGAGTGGAATCACCGATTGAACTGGTTTGGCCGTGTAGCTGGAACTGATTTACAGTGTGGGTGGCTTTGGCTTTGCCGATGGCTAGCCAATGCAAGTTTGTCTTCTCTAGCGTAACCTTGCCTCTTCTTCAATACTGGTTTGGTTCTACTCTAGCTCAGGCTATGTTTTGGTTCAAATTTGTGGCTGCCTTACTGGTTTTCCCGGTGTTGTGAGGTTATGTTTTGCACCGATGGTGTGCTGGTTTGGATTTAGTGCTCGGTCCTGAATTAGGTTGACTCCATCAATACTATTCCCTCACTTCTCTCTCTCTCTCTCTGTCTTTTTCTCTCTCATGTGTACAAATATGTATATATATATATATATATATATGATTGAGTTAAATGCGAGTGAGTTAACTCACTTTGAGTTAGATGGATTAATCATTGAGTTAATTGAGAGTGAAAGTAAAATTGACTTTTTTGCCCTTAAAAACTCTGCACATGTTATCCACGTGCAAATTTTCCGTTCAATTTCTTAACTTCCATTTTAATTGGACCAAAATGATACAGAATTCAAAATTTAAGATCAAAATCGATCAAATGAAATTGAACGAACCAAAATGACACAACGTGTAAACTATAAGAATTATTTGTATAATTCCCCCTCCCCCCCAAAAAAAAAAAGGCCTTAGTATAGCAAGTCTTACTACTATTTATTGAATAATATGAGTGCTACGCATTAATTTTAATGAATCAATGGTGAAAAACAAAGTGGTGAAATAAATTTTGTGATGAATAAGAGCATCTCCAACGGTGACTCAAATTTTTCACCAAATCTGAGTAAAAAATGACTCATTTCACCAACTTTGATACCACTCGCTCCAACGGTTCACCTTTCACCAAATCTATCCCAGGACAACCGGGTGGTCGACCGGCCGGTTGACCGGTTAGGCAAAATTTTAACAAGAGAGAGATCAAGCATCTCCTTCAACCAGATTTTTGCAACAG